ATATATATATATAGTGTGTGAGATAATCATGTGCATGGCATTTGTACTAGCCTTCATCTTTGCCATGTTCAATTAGTTAGAATCAGGACCCAGATACCACCTGCACACAAGGTAGGAATGGGTTGGGCATGGAAACACAAAGCTATAATACCAGAAGGCAGAACATCACTGAAGGTGAATCACCTTAGGGTCTATCTGCTGTGCATGTGAAACAAATCCATTTCAATGTCTAAACTATGCCCTTGCATTCACTACTAACAATTTTATCTCAAAAACTTCAATGACACTGTTGGCATTGTGACATTCCAATACATCCTTTTGTGATAAAAGACATACTGTGCTTTATGCCATACTTTATCCTTATTGCTTTATGTTGCAAAATTGGTCTGAATTTTTCTGCATTTGGGTCAAATAAAAATAATTAATTCTAACACTTGGTGGCAGTACTAGCTCATTTTCAATTCAGTTAGCGAGGATCTCTACAGAAAATGAGAAGTAAATTTTTCACCTTAAAATTTTATTACAAATCTCCCTTTAAAACTGTTCCATTCCAGGTTGACAGTATTTATCAGCAGTTATTCTAGTGTGGTGGAATTGGGTATATTTATAAGATACGAAGATTTTTGATTTGGCTTTTGAAAAGTAAACCTCAGTTGGTTAAACTTCTAAATGAAGATTCTTCAAAGAGAAATTGGGTATACTCTATTTTGTCAGGTAAATTTAATTCAACAAATATTTAAGATCCTAAATTATATATAAATTAATATACTGTCAGAGAGGGATTGGGCCCTCAAGGAAATCAGCACAAATAAGAGATTAGAGCTGTGGCTGGAGGCAAACATAAAGAGAGCCAGGCCCCAGGATGGAGATGCACTGGCCAGGCCCACAAGATAAGCAGCATCTGGAGACCCACCATCTGGTCCAGTGGGCCCAGACAGGCATCAGACACATAGGTGTGTGGCCATGTCATCCATGTACAAAGACTCCTCTTTTCACCCCAATGCCTTTATTCTTTCCATATACCCCTGCTGTTGATCTATTGGATCAATATTAGCTAAATGTCTCTACTTGTAACCCTACAGGTTATTGAGAGTTTGACCCACATTTTACCCATATGATGGCCTTGCTATATATATAAACTACATCTGACAAAGGGATTCCGTGGCCACCACTTTTAAGACCTTTCCAGTCTGTGTCTGAGGAGTTTTCTCTTAAACCTTTTCAACTATTAACCTCTATTGTCCCTTGGAGTTCATTCTTCCATACTGGGAGAGCATCAGTTTGCTACAACCGACATCGAGCAGGTCTGGAGGTATGTTTTTCCTATAACAATCCATCTACTTAAATAATGTGTTATGGGACATAAAAGAAATCAATAACTAGACTGCATGATTTTCCCTGTTAAAGACTTGTCTTTTTCTCAGCAAAAACACCTATATTTGGAATTTCAATCTAAAAGGGACAGTACCGTCTCTTTTGGTTTAGATTAAGTACTGTACAAGACATGAGGCATTTTTAAGGTGAGATAAAGAGAATTCAAAAGTACTCATTGCTTTCTCTTGATAAATTGGGACGTTGAGAGACAAGTTTTCAAATCTGTGAGGTATGTTATGCATCAGGGAAAATCATTGTGATACTCGGCCATTATGAACCTTGGAATCCTTGTGAGCAAATTATAAAGAGAAAGTTAACTTCATGATAACTTCAAAGTCCCTCTTTCTACAGACTCCATGATGAGAAAAGGTAAGCTTTGTACTCCTAACAGTACAATGTGTAGGTATTATTTACTAACACCTTTTGAAAACACTGTTAATCCTGTAGACTTTCAGAGAATTAATACATCAGATTGTATCATGACATCTGAAAGATGTGTACTCAGTGATGATCAGATATTGTTAGAATAGGCATGTTTGGGATAAGTAATTTTAAAGTAGAATATCTACAAGGACAATGGGATGCTGGAGGGTTTTTTCTTGGGAAATAGCCTCTAATAGTTAAAGAAAAATGAACATATCAAGGGAATAAGAGAAAAAGTTGAATCATTTAAAATGTGTTTAATTGGGATCAATTTAAGAATTAGAAATGTCACTTAAGAGGGTGAGGTGTTTGAAATGATCATACAGTTCCAGGATTAGAATAATACTTTTCTTTCCAGAGTGTCTTAGTTACTTTTCTTGTTACTGAGACAAAATACCAAACACTGAAAGTTAAAGGAGAAAAAGTTTATTTCAGCCTAGAGTTTGTAGAGGTTTCAGTCCATAATCGTCTGTCTCCAAGGCAGGTTAGCATGGCAGAGGGGCACGCAGAGGAGAAATAGTTAATGGCAAGTTCACGAGAGGCAGCAAATCAGCAAGCATGCAGCAGCTGCAGCAGAAACCCCTCCCTTTTATCCCTTCCAGGGTACGCAGCTTTTGGGTAGGTCTTTCCAGGGTGGGCCTTCCCATTGTGCACACCCAGAATCGTGCTAGGCCAGTCAGTGGACTACTTTAGTGATTGCACACCCTTAACCCTAGCATCACACAATTCAATCCCAGCATCATACACCATAGATCCAGTTATCTCCCCAAATTCCCATCTATGAGGACATGGGACTATAAGGGGACATTTAGACCAAGCCATAACACATATGCAGCCACAGTATCTGTGCACACATTATTTAACACTATCAAATTTGCATAGTAATGCCTGTTATCCCAGCTTTTGTTTTATTTTTGTTACAAATTCTCCTGATTTGTGATAATGGTGCACTGAGAAGACTGTGGGACGGAAAGTCTATAATTTGCTGGAGGATCTGATATCATCAGTAATGGTCTTATAGATGGAGCCTTATTATAAATACCTTTCATGAACCCCTTTATCCATGAAATAAAGTTATACTTTATGGCTTGTTACTATAAAGGATACAACCCAAGTTCAATTATTATTTAATATTTTATTATTATAATTATATCCTCTTTTTATTTTTAAAAGAAATGGAACTTTAAAATTTTTTTTTATTTATTTTTTTGGGGTAGCAGGGATCAAACTCAGGTCCTTGTGCTGCGGGAACCACTGAGCTAAATCCCTGGCCCCAAAACTGAATTTTTTTGTAGATCCTCCAGATGATTCTGGGCTACCATGCCTCCTCTGTTTAATGACTAAAGTCAGCTCAGCTTTCTAGAAGCTTCCTTTTTTCCTCATGACCCTCCACTTTCCTTCTGATTTTGTAGAGGCCACGTATGTGGAGGACTCTTCTGGTTCCCAGAAACGGTTCCTTCATTCTCACTTGAAATAAGGCTTTTGATCATTTGCAAATCACTGTCATGTGTGGAGACTAATGCTGATTTAGACATCTCTGTCTACTTTGTACACGATTTTCTTGTTTTACAGAGCAAAAGACATATTTGTCTTATTTAGGGGATGTTAATGGGATGGAGTGAGACACGATTAAAGCCTCAGTCCTTAACCTAGAGAAATGATTTAATCTCTTTCTTTGGCCTCTGACTTGGAATATTCATTTTGTCTGTCAACTTGTGAATTAGTACATACTACATATCTAAGTTGTATGGCATATAGTTTGTTTATTAGCTATATTAACAATGTAAGTAAAGAGGTGCTGAGTTTAGAATACAATAGCATACAAATGTAAACTGTAGGCCTAAATATGATTTTCTGACTCTATTCACTGAAACATAGGCCATTTTTACGGTTTCTTGATTTTTACCATCTTCTATATTATAGTAACGATGCATCAGAGATCTTAATATTTCAGCATGGTACAAAGTTGGCATAATAGTTATTAGTTTGTATATTCACAGTGTTCATCATTAAGCCTTATTAAAATGCATATATATCATCTAGTAGACTAGGCGCTCCTGTAATACCTTCTCCCATATTTCCCACACATTAAAGCCAGAGGAACACTGAAAAATAAGTTTGGCTAAAAATAGGACTGTATGTTAAAATGACATTTTTTTTCTAAGGATCATTGCAATTCTTTTTCTTCAGATATAATTAAAAAATTAAAATCATCCATTTAGCTGGCTCCTTGGTATAGCAGAATTAGAGAAGTCAGTGATTTTATTTGATTTCTTGCCCTTATGAAGAAATGATGGAAGAAGAAATATTCTATTTACAGATATAATCCTAAAATGGCTTCATTAAATGTTACCGGTGTTATCTTTATCTTTCTCATTGTCATTGCTAGTCATTGATATTTTCTGTGTCTCTAGGAAGATGTAAAGAAAGAGAAGGAAAGTCATTGTCCATGATGAATCACCATTTTTTTCATAATCCTAAGATTTGGAGATGGTAATAAACAGAATTTCAAAGATAGCACTGCAGAATTCCTAGCCTCTGCTTGTTCAGATATTTATTGCATTATAAATTTTTGCAAATGTAATTAAAGTCACAGCTTTTTACCTTTTTTTTTTTTTTCTTGGCTATACTGTGGCTCAAACTCAGGACCTTGTGCTTGTAAGGCAGACCTGGCACCACTGAGCTAAATCCCCAGCCCTTGACCTTAAAATATTAGCAACCAATTTGATCTGACTCTCTCAAACGAGCACTTTAAAAGCAGAGAATTTTCTTTGGGTAACAGCAGAAAAATAAATGAGAGAAGTCAGAAGCACTATAGGATTCGACAGGTCAAATCTGGCTTGGATGGAAGTAGCCATGTCATGAGTAATGGTGCACATCCTTTAGGAAAAGTAAAAGGCCCTTGTATGACAGCGAGCAATTAGGGGCCTCAATCAAACCTAGAACCATTAGGAACAAATGCTTCCAGCCATCTACATGAGCTTGGAAGTGCATAGTTTTCCACACCTTCCAGAGAACCCAGCCAGCCACATGTGGATTTTTCTGGTAATATCCCAAGAAAAACATGCAGCAAGTCATGTGGAATGTCTGACTTAGAGAAACCAAGACAGTACATGTATTTTACGCTGATAATTTTGTCGCTGTTGGTGGTGGTGTTTGTGGTGGTGGTGGTGGCCACAATAGAAAACTAATATAGAAGCACAGTGCTAGAAAAAATTCCTATTTTTTGTGTGGGTCATAGTAATGCAGTTATGAGACAATGTATGGTAAGCTCGCCCGTGGCTGAGACAGAGTATCTAACACATGTAAATAAAAGGAAGAGTTTAAATTGGCTCATGGTTTCAAAGGTTTGGGTCCATGGTCTCCTGATTCCAATGCAAAAACATCGTGGTAAAAAGAATACGGCAAACAAAGCTACTCCATGGGAAATAGAGCCCAGGAAGAGTACTGACTAGAAATATATCCAAAGTTGTGGCCCAGTGACCCACCTCTCCCAACTCAGTGCTACCTGCTAACAGAGTATTCACCTATGACATTGGTGGGTTAATCTACTGTTGAACATGCTGTCCTATTAATCCAATCACATCCCCAAGAGTCTCTTAATCCGTTCAAATTATTGTGGCTCTTGATGGTTGGTTGGTTGTTCTATTTTAAGCTTTTCGCCTTTTGGGATATTGTAGTTCTAATTAAATACATAGTCTTTTTTCTTTAGGACTCAGACATTAGCACTTGGTTTTCATTATTAAAGACTCATCAGCGATTATACTTTTAAATTGAGTCAAGAAAATATTTATATACAAAACCCAGGGACATTTTAGCAGAATGTTCTCTAATTGTTACATTGCAGAAATTTTGAGTTTAGCTCCAATGTCTACGAATAGTGGCATTATAACAAGTGATGTAAGGAGAACAAATTGATAAGTTATACATAAAATATATTTGAAAGACAGAAGTAGTTGAAAAATAATTGCATTTTTAAATGTTACAGGTAATACTTCCAATTGTCTCTTTTAAGTTTATTAGTTAACAAATAGAGTATGTAATGAAGAATGCTTGGTACTAATTAAAAACAACAAGGTTTTAAAACATCATACACTTTCCCATTGTGTGGGGGAAAGTATAAGTGCGTAAAACATCTTTTAAGGGTAATTTAATAGCATTTACTAAAATTTAAAATAATATTTTACACAGAATTCTGCTTTTGTGAATTTATTCACAGATACTCTCTCCCACATACATAAAGTTATTTACCATCAAGCAAAGATATTTTTGTAGTTTTGGTGTAAATGCAAAATATATACATTTATGTAATGGAATATTACTTGAATTCTGGAACCAGAACAGCTATACTGACATGGAAATATCCATACATAAAACAAGCAAAATTTAGAATAGTTACTATTTTTTGTACTTAAAAGTGCATGCCTATATTTATGTATTAGATGCACAGTGGTGGTATCTGTATAAATGTAGCATATGTTTATATATATATATAGATTTGTCTATACTATATATGTCTATATATATATATATATATATATATGTATATATGCCTAGAAATGGGGAGATAATGAATGCAAATTTTTGCTCATCAGGGAGAACTTCATAAATGAATGCTTGAAACCATTATTTCTAATGAGTGAGACTCAGGTAGGTATGTTACAGCTGAAAGAAAACTCATTTTTCATTTCATATCCTCTTTCTTTCAGTTTTTAACCAGGCACCCATATTATTACTGTGTATATTTTATGTACATCAGCTATTCTAACAAAATGTTTATTATTTCTTACCATGCTAAGCCATATTTTCCATTTTCCTACATTTGATTTTTCTGCAGGAACAAAAATATATCAAGTACCTAAAAATATAGCACATGTCTAAAGTTAATCTGGAGTTGTTTAAAATGATAATATGTTATCTTTCAAAAACTGGAGTTATATGTATTATTTTTGGATTCAGTTATTTGCATATTGTGACTATAACAAATATATCCCCACAAAAACATTTTAATTTCCAAGCATATTTATTTCTCTCTTTATGCTCTTTAATGAATTATAGAAAACAACATGCATAAGTAAAAAAACTAGGAAAGTTTAATCAAAAACACCTAAACACCTAACTGCTCAAAATTTTCTTTATTATATATTTATTTGAAATTAGCGTATGAATTCCTAAAACTTGCAAGTTATATGTGATTTATAAGAATTACTACGGGATACATTCTTTCCTCTAGCTCGTTCTTTCTATATATTTTGTCTGTTTATTATTAACTCATCTGATATATTCTTGAATCATTAGATTTTCATCATATCTTAACACTCTTAGCTGTGCCCAGTGTAATCATGTTCTCTTTCCGCACATAATGTGAAAGTATCATACTGAAGTTTTGCTTTGAGGAAAGAATAAAGTCAATTAGATGTGGTAGATATCATAAGGCTAATTATCTTATCTGAAATTAAACAAGACTCCCAATGGGCAAACGAGGTAGACACATGTATGCTTGCGGAGTTCTGCTGAGATTAATGGGGTTTCCATCCAATCGAATGTCTTCTAGGGCCTTCCGAATATATGTCAAGTTTTTAACATTGCAGAAAGTATCTTCATGCATCTCTAGAATGTTGTTATTCTAAAATAGAATAGAATAGAATAAATTAGAAGACAATGTGTAACATCTACTTAGTATCAATTGGAATTGTAGTTTATACTTTATTACACATCCATTTTTATTCGTTTCTTCCCTCAATCAAAGCTATGTGTTATATGACTAGTATCCAACATGCTCTTGCCAATTAATGAAAATAAATAAAAACTAGCCATATTGTTGCCCTTACATAGACCTCAGTATGGGATACAGAATATAAATAGTTGAGAACAATTTAAAAATAATAATATTCAAAAATTACAAGTAGAGTAAAACCGCTTTTCACAAACACTTCTCTTCTCCAACAATTCAGTTCCCAGACAGAATCTTTAGACAAAAATTTGCCTTCATTCAGAAACCTTGCATAGGGTGGTAAACAAGACCACGACCATCTTCCTAGCATGGACACGAACGTGGCCATCTTCCCCAGGATCGTGGAATGAATTGTTCGTGAACTGAGGGAGCCCTGTACTATAATGAAGGGATGGCGGCTGTAAAAAGTCACCTTAAGACATAACAACTGAACCGAGAAAGGAATGAGAAGACAGGCATGGGAAGAACTCAGGGAAGTGTGTCCCAGGAAGAGAAAACACAAAGTTTAAAGTCCGAGGAGACAGCGTGGTAATTCACCCCCTGAACAACGGAGCTTTTCTGCAAGAGGCTGAAGTGACAAGAAAGAGTGAAACAGCTAATATCAGCCAGAAAAGTGGAGCCCAGGACCAGAGTTTTAAAAATAGCTTTTCTGAATATATTTAACATACTATAAAACTCAATACTATATTTAAAATCTATAATTTAATATACTCAGAGTTGGGCAACCATCACTACAACCTAATTTTAGAATATTTTCAACACCTACAAAAGAAATCTCATATTCAGTACATTAGAAGTAAGCCCTCATTTCCCCCTTCCCTCTTTTCCCTGACAACTGCTCATCTACTTCCTGCTTCTATAAATTTTTATTCTAGGTTTGTCACACAGAGAGGACGGTGACCATATCATACATCATCTTTTGTGACTGAGTTTGACAGTTAGGACCATGTGTTCAAAATTCATACATGTTGTAGCAAATACTAGTAGTTCATTCTTTTTGTTACCAGAGAGTATTGCACTATCTTGATATAGAATATTTTTAATTTGTTTATGCATCAGTTAATGGAAATTTGGATTGTTTTAAAATCCAACTTTACTTTTATGAATAATATCTTACAGCTCTCATAAATAATGTTTCTATGAACATTTTCATTTAAGTCCTGTATGGAGACATGTTTTTAATTTTCATGAGCATATGAGGTATGATCTAAAGTTACAGTGAATGTTTAATTTTTAAAAATATACCACAGTAATAACACACATTGCCATTAATCTCCCTCTAAATACTCCTTGCTTTCAGCACACTTATCTGAACCTTTATTACTATTTTTTTAAGTAGTACTGGAAGTCCTCTTTCCTGTATTTAGTTGTGCTGTCATGGCTGCCTTGATGTCTAAATTGGTTCGAAACACTTACCTTTCATGCTTATTTTGATTTTGAGAAAGACCTAGAAGTTGTAGTACCAGACTCAGTGAAAAAGGTGGGTGAGGACACATCATATTTTTTAGGCCTATTTTCCCATTGGTTGACACTTGGCAGAAGCATTCACTCTGTTTTTGTATTTGCTTTATTTACCAAATTTGTAAAGACACACAAGAAAGATGACTTCCAGAAATGTTTCAGAAAGTAGCAGGAATAAATGGGGAGCTATTTTGAGAAATATTAGCTGCCCTGTGTCTTTTACCGTAGTAAATTGTAAAAAAAAAAAAAGTATTCACTGTGTATTTTGATCATACCTTATGTATGTAGACATTAAACTGTGTGATCATATAATAAGTCTATTCACTTTTAAACAAATTATTAAATTGATTCATAAAGTGGCTACAAAAGTTTAGACTCAAAAAATATGTGAGTGTTCCAACCTAACCAACACTTATAATGTTCTATTTTATTTTAGCCAATCAAGTGGGTGTAAATGATATCTCATTTTGGTTTTACTGCCAGAGTATTGAGAAACAATTGATATTTCATGTTGATCTTACGTTTGATATTTCATGTCATTACGTCCCTGAACTCATTTATCATTTCAAAAGTTTAATGGATTTCTTGTTATACACTGTAAGCAAAATCAATAAATTAATTTGGCAAGTATTTCAATCTAAATAATACTGTTTTCTGAAGCATGAATTTTTGGGGCATCTTTTCTTTATTTGAATCTTCTCCTTTTGACAATGTGTTGTATTTTAACAGTAAAAAGAAAAGTCTTTTACTTCTTTCTTAAATCTAGTTTTGAATATTTAAAGTAATTTGAGTATTAATATATAATTTTTAATTTTGTTTTCATATAATTTATTGATAATGCATGTAAATGCAATTGATATTTATATATTCATCTTAGAACCTGCCATATTACTGCACTCATCAATTCAAAGAGTTGTAGTGGAGTGTTTAGAAATTTTCTGTATATAAATAATGTCATCTGGAAATCACAAAACTCTCATTTCCTATTTGAATATCATTTATTTGTTTGTTTGTATATTTAAAATAAATATAGTTAGTTTTGCTTAATTGACCCAGCTAGGCTTCTAGGCGCATTACCAAAGAGACGTAGTGAGACAGTCCCGTCTTGTTTTTCATCTGTCCCTATGCTTTAGGTGTAGAGATTTTTAATGAGCCATCTTTACTGGACTGAGTAAATTTACTAGGCTTCCCACTAGTTATTAGAATTCCTTTATATATTAATATTGTTATTTATATAATGCATTTACGTTTTCAGGGTATGGTATATTGCATTTCTTGATTTTGAAATTTTGAACTATTCTTGAATTTCCTTGACAAATACCACTTGGTCATGTTGTTACCTTTGCATATTGGTGGATTCATTTGGTTGTGTTTTGCTGAAGGCATTTGTATTATACTCATAGAAGATACTGGTATTCAGTTGTTTTTGTAGTAATATCTTTGTCTATCTTTGTTATTGAGATTAGTATTTGCCTTAGACAATAAGTCAAGAAAAGTTACTTCTTTTTAAATTATTTTTAATACATTTCAATGATTAATATTGTTTTTTAAATATTTGGTAGAAATAGTATTCTGCTGTTGTTGCATTAAATATTCTGCAGATTATTGTTAGTTTCCTAGAGTGTGATTGATTTCTGCTACTTACTATTGATCTTGTGGCTAGTTGGTTTATCCATTATTGAAAGTAGAGTATTGAATTATCTAAACTGTTTCCGCATCATTTCTGACAATTTATGCTTAGTGAATTTTAGGGTTCTGCTGCTAATTGAAAGTTAAATAACGGAAATATTTTGAAAAATGCAATTAATGTTTTTCAAAACTTATAATAGGAATGTATGACTAATTACTTAGAAAGTCATCTCATACTGTGCATATTATGTTCTAAAATACCACATTCCTTATATCCCAGACAACAACAATAAATTTAATTAATAACTGGAAGACACAGTCCAAAATTTTGTAAAGGATTCTATTGAAAATTCTGTCTCTAAAAAAATCTAAATCTAAATAGAAACTCATTCCCAGAAAAACAGAAATTAAGAAAGAGTCATCTAGAACCAGAATGCAGATTAGAAAGGAAATAAACATAATTAAAAGAGATGGGTAGCCAAGCCTTGGACAGATATACACAAGACACTAAAATATGGAAAATATATTATTAAAAAGAAAAGAAACACACAGAAGCCAAAATTTGAATCTACAGAGGAGAAAACAAGAACCATACATTTGTTTCCTGTACGGAAAAATCACTTTTTAGAGTGGTTTATACTTTTTCTGCTAGAAAATGTAATATTGGACTGTGATGTTTCTTTGAGCATATAATGAACGTCTTATCTGCATATTTATTGCATAGAGCAGATGAAATTACTGCAGAAAGATGATTGCAGCTGCTGAGCAAAAGTTACTCATATTTGAATAAGGAGCAATTTATCTTTCTTTGTTTCAGTAACCAAAAATGTTTCAGTTGACCAAATTTTAATCACTTGGGTACAAATGAAATATACTTAGAAAGTATTAAATCATAACATTTTAAAAAATGTGTTTTACTTACTTCTTCAGAGATAAAATACACTTTAATGGTATTAAAAATAACGCAAACTTTCAAATATGTTTAAAAAGAACAGCAGAGAGAAGAAACAACTGCATTTTCTTTATGCAAACAAATGCAAGCTTATCATTTCTCAGCAAATAGGAATGCCTTAGACTGAGTATAATCCGGTACATAAAATCAAAATCCAAAGCTGAAACTGACAGTTTTCCCTGACCTAGAAGTCACATTCCATTTTTTTCCTTTCTCCTTTTTCTCTTCCACTTCTAACCTTTACTTTTTATTTAATCAGGTGAAGATTTCAGAGTTTTTTAAAGGGATGCTTTTAGTACCAAAAAAAGATGCATTTTTATTTTGAAAAAGTATAAAAATAAAGACAAAGGTCTGCAGAAATCCAGCAAGGTGAAGGCCACAAATGATTAAATATCGTATTCTCAGAGATAATAAATGAAAGAGAGAAATGACAAAAAACAGAAAAATTGTCCCAGTATATCCACATGTCATTAGAGACAGGTTTTTGGACCCTTTCTCCCTTCATTTGGTTTGGTTTTGTCTGGGTCTTTTGGCCTCATCTTACTGCCGGACACCAACCTGGAGGTGCAAGGCCCGAAGGTTTTCTGGGAGTGGCAGAGGAATGTGGTCCAAGTTGTTATCAGTGAGGTACAGATGGCGGAGGTCATACATATCCTGTAAGCAGTCCAAATGTAGAAACTTAATAGAAATCCCCTTTCCATGCAACCATGCATAAAATAACGTGTGCCCATGTGGGTTGTGTTTTCTAAATTATTCCACCATCCTGTTGAGTTTTAGGGAAAAAAGTGGCTGAAAGCAGAGTTTCCTGATCTCTAGGAAGAACCTTACTTTGTTCAATATAATTTTCTCAATTTAACCGAGGCAGCCACTTCCCATGAAAGCCATTTTATGTAGGATTTTGATGATATTAGTGAGACCTAGCAATAATTTATTTATAGTCATAAAAATGAGATTTTTGTCTCCCCAAAAAGCTTTTAGCCTCACAAACAAAAAGGCAGCTCAGTGATACACAAAATATTTAAATAATAACTTGTCTATTCTTGCCCAATACCGCAGAAAAACTGACTCTCCATCACCCATGCTGACCTATTTTGATTCTTGTAGGCTACAATGTACCCTTAAGGCCCTGCACAACATAGCCAGAGAGTCTAGCAGAGAGACAGTGCTAAGAAGACCACACTAGCCCCTCTGTGTTTTACAGAAATAACACAGTATCTCTTCAAAGAGTATTTTAATATCATTTGCTCCAGGAGAAGGAAGACTGGGTAAGGATACCAGTCATCTGATATTCTCAAGACTCCAGGCTGCTGTTCCAAGCAAGGCCTCTAGCTCCAGACTTGTTTCCTTTACTTAAAATATAACATCCCTAAATGATCCTTTCAGGGTTGTTCAGCAGCCCTCTGGACTGCATCCTTCCCAAGTAGTTATGTTTTCAGCCATGTAAAGTGCTCTCCCTGAGTGGAGTTCTGGATAAATGCAAATTGTTCCCTTCTAAGTAGCCACCCACTTGTTTTTCTCACTCTTTTTTCTGTTTATGCTGCCTGCACTTTCTTCAGAATGTACAGAATGTACCAGTACAGAGCATTTTTCAAACGCATGATAGACATGGCAATGAAGTTTATTTTGGAAGGTAAAATTTCCATTAAATTCGATCCTGTTACAGAAGTAAAAAGGCTCTCCATTAATAGCAAGTGGAAGGGAAAGATCAAAGTCTTTCCTATGAAATCTAAAGCTTACTTTAAATGCTTCTTGCTTGATCCCTTTCCTCCCAAGTCTATTGTTGCTGACGTCAATAAATGTCAAAGTAGCTGGCAATTCTGGGAGCTGCCTTATTTTGTTGTCACGAAGGACAAGCTCTTGAAGTTGAGGCAACTTTCGGAACGCATCTTCATCAATCTCAGATATTAAATTTGATGTCAAATCAATCCTTTTTAAATCATCTAGAAGAAAACAATGCGGGAAATAAATATTATTGAATATGGTTTTGATATAAAATATGAATATAAAATTCTCCACTGAAAATGCATTGAAAATGCAAATTTGAGTGTAGCAATAGACAGTTAATGAAATAATATAAAAATAAATTATAATATAAAATAATATAATAATATAATATAAAAATTGCTATTTCTAAATATACTTTGTGTAGCTTTTCCAAATCGTATTCTAAATGGTTTTCTCGATAAATAATATCCAAAGGTACAGGAATTAAAAGGAAATCTTTAAGTGATTAAACTTTATTTATAAAAATGAGAACTAAAATTCTTATAAGTTGGCATTAACTATAAAGTCAGAATTTAGGCTTACATCATCAACCATAAAACTATTATACTTTAATTACAGCTTGTTCAAAGCAGCCAAATCCTTTTAAATATATAACCATGACATCTTATTCTTAATGTCATCAGATAATGAGTTATAGCAAATAAACTACAATTATTTTTATGTTTAGTTAAAAATGGCTCATTTGAAACTAACAACAGCAACATAGTTTCATCATGACCATTAGTTACTGGTCCTTTCTTATGGTTACTAAAACAAACTTTCAAGCACTTAAATAAGAAAAAAATTGATTTATCAACCATAGTTTGTTATTCGACATCTTTTCCTCAATGCCAACACTTTGCACTGTACAAATTCTAGACAAATATGAAATGAAGAGAAGGACATTAATGTTGTCATCCATACTTAGGCTGGCAAAGTCATTTCTGTTGATCTTTTTAATTCTGTTAAAGCGAGAGTAGAAATAAGCAGTGTTCCTGGGCAGTGGGGGAATAGCATCAAGTTCATGGTCGTCACAGTATACAGTGGTACTTATACAAGTACACAGTAGGCAGGTTGGAAAGTCTAAAAGGTAGAAGTAAAGAATTACATGTAAGTAATCAAAAACTTCTAAGAAATCATGCAGTTAGAAATATTTGGTAAACAAGATTACAATCTTACAAAATGCATCCTGATATATTTCATATTTCTCATATAATTTCTATAAATCAAATGTGTAAATCAACATGTCAATTAGGCTACTCTAACATTTTAAAAATCTACTTTGAATTATGGATTGATACAGCATGACTTTTAATTCTATACTACTTAGAAATTCTGTTTTTCAAATATAAATGCTAAGATTGTGTATTCTGTAAAGCATTGCACAATAGTTTTCATTATAACTCTGATTCAATATTTAAACTTCCCACTAAAAAAAGCATAACAACAATAATATTTATTCATTCAATACAAATCATCGAACACATTTTATCTGAATGCTACCATGCTAGCTAGTGAAATAGCACTGAGCACAAATAGACGCAGTCTCATTTTGATCCGCTATGTCAGGTAAGTGTTCACTGCACAAACAGGCTTTCAGTGTGCTAAAAGTCATAAAGCATCAGATGAGCACAATCTATGTTATTTAGTCCAGTGAGGAAGTAATGAAAGCACATTTTTTGAAGAAATGAAAACTGAGTTGATTTCTGCAGGAAGAGGAGAGATGGATTCGGTGGATAAAAAGGAAGATTAAGTGAGACAAGGGAAGTAGCATCTGCCAAGTCCCTCTACTTTGGAGAGACTCTAAGATAGTCCGTGAGGCTTAAATTGAGAGTCTTTGGATGTGTGTGCTAGGACAGCTGTCTTGGAGAGACCTTGGCAGGGGCCTACGCAGGCGCCTTGTGAGCTGTGTTACAAGTTTCAGTTCCTGATTTAAGAGTAGGCAGGAGGGTTGAATGATCTGATTTACATGTTATGAGATCACTTGACTCGAAGGTGAGGTGGAAGACTGAAAAAGGGCAGGTGTGAAGAGTGAAGAAGAGTTGGAGCATAGATAAAATTTCAAATTTAGATTAATTTTAGAACTAAATCATGCCAGTGACTTGGTGATAGAGAAGCCAACAATCCAAAGAAGTTTGTGCGGCTGTGCTATATCTTAACACATCAGTTTAGTATTTTTCTCTATATCACACGTGCACACACACACACACACACACACCAGGCCCTTGCCCCTCCTTCACTATTGATTAGCTGTGTACAGAAAGGTAAATTGTAAAGAGAATGGAGAAGCAATGATCAGAGAGAAGGACAAAAAATGGGATAGCGAATTATTATGGAGGCCAAGTGGAGAGGAAGTTTTATTGTATTTTATTTTTGGTACCGGGGATCGAACTCGGGTCCTTGCACTTGCAAGGCAGGCCACCAAACCGCTGAGCTAAATCCCCAGCCCCAAGAATAAGTTTTAAAAGAAGGGAAATAAGCCAAGGCTGGCAAGCTTTCAGATGTAGATGAAAAACGGAAAAGAAGTTCTCACTGTTGGATCGCTCTTGAGACAATCATCAGAGACAAGTGAGATAGTCTGTAGAGTAACGAAGCTAGAAGCCAGGTAGCAGTTTAGGAGGCAGTTGGAGGGAGGATAAACTTTACAGCAAAGCTCTTAAATTGCTCGATTATGAAGAATAAGGAGTGAGAAATCTGTGCGTGGTCAGATGAGGTGCGAGCTGGTTAAAGTAAGAAGGAGTGAAAGGTAGGTTCGGAGGAAGATTGTAACCGTATGCGGATCCTTGTGGAGTTTGGAGCTTGGCAGTTTGCAGAGAGGACACAGTGGACTCAATTATAATTCAGCCCTGGTGTACCAGACCTTCGTCGGTGTGTGGGCCCAGAGCCCCTGGCGCCTTGTGAGCTGTGTTACAAGTTTCAGTTCCTGATTTAAGAGTAGGCAGGAGGGTTGAATGATCTGATTTACATGTTATGAGATCACTTGACTCGAAGGTGAGGTGGAAGACTGAAAAAGGGCAGGTGTGAAGAGTGAAGAAGAGTTGGAGCATAGATAAAATTTCAAATTTAGATTAATTTTAGAACTAAATCATGCCAGTGACTTGGTGATAGAGAAGCCAACAATCCAAAGAAGTTTGTGCGGCTGTGCTATATCTTAACACATCAGTTTAGTATTTTTCTCTATATCACACGTGCACACACACACACACACACACACCAGGCCCTTGCCCCTCCTTCACTATTGATTAGCTGTGTACAGAAAGGTAAATTGTAAAGAGAATGGAGAAGCAATGATCAGAGAGAAGGACAAAAAATGGGATAGCGAATTATTATGGAGGCCAAGTGGAGAGGAAGTTTTATTGTATTTTATTTTTGGTACCGGGGATCGAACTCGGGTCCTTGCACTTGCAAGGCAGGCCACCAAACCGCTGAGCTAAATCCCCAGCCCCAAGAATAAGTTTTAAAAGAAGGGAAATAAGCCAAGGCTGGCAAGCTTTCAGATGTAGATGAAAAACGGAAAAGAAGTTCTCACTGTTGGATCGCTCTTGAGACAATCATCAGAGACAAGTGAGATAGTCTGTAGAGTAACGAAGCTAGAAGCCAGGTAGCAGTTTAGGAGGCAGTTGGAGGGAGGATAAACTTTACAGCAAAGCTCTTAAATTGCTCGATTATGAAGAATAAGGAGTGAGAAATCTGTGCGTGGTCAGATGAGGTGCGAGCTGGTTAAAGTAAGAAGGAGTGAAAGGTAGGTTCGGAGGAAGATTGTAACCGTATGCGGATCCTTGTGGAGTTTGGAGCTTGGCAGTTTGCAGAGAGGACACAGTGGACTCAATTATAATTCAGCCCTGGTGTACCAGACCTTCGTCGGTGTGTGGGCCCAGAGCCCCTGTGAATTCTGGTTCCTGTGAGGAAGAGCCATCTATCAGCCTGGGGGTGGATTCCTCCTCCTCCTCCTCCTCCTCCTCCTCTAGGACCTCCTCCGACTGTGGAGCTGGAGTGGGGAACTCTCTGCTCCCCGAAGGCATCATTGTTACCCTTTTGACCTGGAAAAGAAGCAGAAGACAACCAGGCCACCTCAGTCATCCTGCGTGGCGGTGACAAATTTAAAAGCATCCATCGTTGCCACAAGATGTCACTGGTGTCTTGAAGTTCAGCGCTCCATCTGGTCAGACAGCTGGGGCAGCACATGTGGATTAAGTGACTGTTACTATTGTTTCTGATGAAGTTTACTTCTGAAGTCTTAGGAATTGTTTTCAAAACCTTTTTTTCGGTCTTTATGCTATTTTTTCCCCCTCTCATGTATGTTTGTTCATCCCATAGGTTTTAAAGAACCTCATTTATTGTTCTGTAATAATGTACGTCTTACAAAAAAGGTTCATCGTTGTGAAAGAAGTACGCAAAGTAAATTCCAAAAGTCTCCATCTCTTTCCAGCCATAATTCTACTCCCTAGAAGATGAGAAGTAATAAGATGAGTACTATTTTCTTTTAAACCTTCATTTCCTAGATTTAGGTGTTCTTTTCCCTCCCAAAATCTTATGCTTCCCTTCAGGGCAATGCATTGCAAAGTATTCTTTCTACTAAAATAAAATGTATAGTGATGCTAAGATAGTATGATTTGAATATAACCCATAATTTCTTAGATATTTTCCATGTTATTTCAATAACAAATACTACAAAAATACTTATGCTGAACTTGCCCTCTGGAGAATTTTGACAATAAAACAAATTTATAAAATTGCAAAAACATTCGGAAAGTTTTCAGATTGCAATTTTTATTTTCAACTGTTTTTATCTTTTATTTTGAGATAGGGTATGGCTGAGCTGCTAAGTTCTCCAGGACGAGCTTGAATTTATGATTCTCCACTACACCCAGCTGCACAATTTTAGATTATACTCTCTCTTTTTTCTTGGTGTTTGCATTTTTGAATGATGAATTGTTGCTTCTATGAATACACTTTGCATTTAGAACATACCCTCACTTTCAGCTACTTGTCCTTATCTTAGTATTTATTCCTGTTTTATTTCTTACTATATGTCTTCCTCTCTGATGAGCTTCTAGGCTTGGGCTGTGAATTTTCTCAAGGCAGTACAGGCAGAAACATCCAGGACCCACTCTTCGTGATCGATTGTCCTCCCCATGCTACAAGAAATCTCGGATTTTCCTTTGACCTTATTGATATAGACTCTTGGTTCTTTTCATCTTCTTTATTGGAATTCATTAATGAAAGAGAAATTATTTTCTAAATTATTTAGTACCAAAATGATGAGTAAACTACTTTTTTCATCTTTGAAATAGGTATTTAATAGGTCTAATACATTTCTGGAAATTTTAGATGACCATAGGATTTTATAGTTCTATTTTTTATGTAATACTGCTTTTATATATGTAAATATGTGTATATATATAATATATATATATTCACTTAAAATGAATAAATTTGACTATATATTCACTTAAGTGCACAAATTTGAATATAAACATTCACTTAACAAATGAAAATATGCTCTATAAGAAGTTCTGAACTTTCTTCCATAAAGTCTGTTTCAGCTTTTCCTACCACATATTGCAATCATTTCATGAGTTTTATGCATAGCAAGTCTACAAGCTGTGAAACTCTGCATGTTTTCTTCTATCTTTATACCTCTAGGCTATTGCATAATAAGCAATCAACAAGTCCTTTCTGAGCTACATAATTAAAGAAAATTGTTTCTTGTCCAAGGTATATTTAATTCACAGCTCTATGTTTAACTGGAGGGATTTTGCTGAGAAGAATCAATGAATGTGCTAATGCTTACTTTAAAACATTTAAAATAAGAAAACAAAGCAAAGATTCATCTGCATTTGATATTTTAGGTGCCATGCACAAAGATACTGTAAAGATCGGCCAAAAATCTCCAGCTGAGAAGACTGGGGGCATCTCTTTAAACAGAAAGACATACGGTTTCCATCAGTAGGGTCAGAAGAGAAATGGATTTGCAGAAAAACAAAAGGAAGGCTCCGAAAAGAGCGGAAATTGAGACAGATGTTTCATGGAATGGAGGCAGCCTACAGGGAGAAATGCATTCCAGACGCATTGCCTTAAATCTTTAACTTTGTAGGAAAATGTTTGCACATACTTCTCAGAGATAATTGTTTTTCCACTGATTTGATGTGAAGCTGCAAGATCTCACTTGTCATCCAATATAATGAGGTAAAACAGCTTTGGTGTTTATCAGAAACTGTTTTTGTTCATGCCTGCTTGAAAATAAAATGAGCAAAAACTTCTAAATCCAAGGAAAAGCAATGCCATTCATTTCAGCAAAATTGCAGACTATAGCCTCATTGTCCTGTGTCTGGAGAGTCTTTTGCATTGTAAACACATTTATTCTTACTATTATGTAGAAGTTATCTGGGCATCTGCATTACGTCCTCTTTTACCAAGCTTCACGCTGTGGCATGACTTTGTGAAGCAATGCATGAAAAAGAATGAGGCCGAGGGATCATGAGAACCTGTCTGTCCACATGGCAGATTTCTGTTTGTGCTGTAGAAACCTAAATTTGGACCTGAACACAAATAGATGGACACTATCCCTTACTCACAGGCTGCAATCAATAATTCTCAAATTTAAATATCATTGAGCATTTTATATAAATATGTATTCATTCTTTCAGAGCTTTTTTCTCCTTTCATTTTCCTTCGACACTGTTTTTTTTTTCTTGCTTGTTTCCTAATGAATTGATGTGTTAAACTGTTGCTTGTATTTCTGCATTACAAACACCACACAGGAAAGGTCTTTACAGTACATCACTTTGATTTAGACATAACTGCATTTGCTGATCTTCTTGACCTAGTGCTAGGAAGGAACTTCTTTAAGTCAATTGATTTGAAGAAAAAAGTGTATATTCCCACTTGGCCTTAGGACTGTCTGGCTTTGGTCATGGTAAACTTGTGTCTGGCTTGGGTTATGGTCAAGGAGTACATTTTGTACCTTTGAAAGAGTATAGGCCAGAAATGACAACTGTTCCAATACCTGAAAGGAGGGGAGGGAGGAGGGAGAGAGGGGAGAGAGAGAGAGAGATCTGGGAGAGTGAGGTCTTAGAAGATGTTCACCTGTAGAGCTAATTTCCGAGAAAAGAAGTCCCAAGGGCTGCCTAGGCTTCCTCACTCTCCTCAGCCTGGACTCCATGCAGGCAGCCCAGCACCTCATGTAATCTACAGGTAAATGGGGTTGATGAAACTTTGAACTGTTTCAGACTCAGATTCTGCCCTCTGGAGGAATAAAAGCCTCTCGATATAAAATAATCCTGTTGCATTTCTTGTGTCAGACTGTACTAACATATTAATGTTGTTATCAATACTACCTCAAAATATTTAAGGTTTTCATTTTCTGATAATCGGCAGGATCGACTGTCCATAGCAAAAACTCAGCATCATTTTAATTAGCAATGTATTTAGTCAAAAATAATTTTGACAATTTTTTTTTGTCTTCAAACAAAAAGCACATGTAACTTATGTGGTTTTTCTATAACATGGAGTACTACTTAACCATAAAGAATGAGAAACTAGAAACATTTATAGCTAAATGGATGCACATTGAGGCTATACTCTTAAGTGAAATAAACGGAACACATGTGTAAATACCAAATAGTTTCTCTGGTGTGAAAAATTAAAACTGTAAATAAGGTTCAAATGGTATAATTGGAAGAAATAGGAAGAAAATGGCCAAAGGGGAAGTGGGAAAGGGAGGGGAAAGGAAATAAGGGAAAAGAAAAAATACGATAAAAGGGAAAAATGGAAATAAAGTCTGTAAATAGGGAAGGGTGGAGGGGGTGAAGGGAGGGCAGGGATATGGATCAAAACAAGAACCAAGACGTAACTGTATTGTTTGCTTTTAATGGACCAATAAACTGAATGGGGAAAAAACCCTCACTATCAATAAGAACATTTACTGGCTTTGCAGTTAAACCATGAAAAACAAATGTGTTCAGAAATTAGAGTCCCAAGTCTTCCCAATTACTTTGGCTGCCAGAGAGCCTTCAGGATGGACTTCTTATCACCCATGTTGCCTAAACCCCTGAAGACAGTCACAGACCACTTGCTGCCACTCAGCATTGTAGAATTAATGAAGCTTTTGAATTTTGTTGGTATCTAGGTATTAATTTAGTCTCAACACTTAATCTGTATCTGTGCCCAACGAGGATCTCAATGATAATTTTTGTATAGTAGAAAAAAATGCCACGAAGGAATTCAGATTACCCAGATTTGATTCCTACCTTCATGAATACGTGAAAACATCAGCAAGCTAAGGAGTAAATTTGTAGTTGGTGGAAAGTTTGCCAATTTTCATGATATTTAAACAGTCAGATTGAATGTACACCAAGCATTAAGCTTAAGGTCTGGTCAATTGTATATCTTTCTTGCTGATATTATTTCCTAAGCATCTATCTATGCCATTATGTATCTGCCACCAACACCAAAATCTAAGTTATCACCCACTATTGCCTGGGGTACAATAAATGTCTACTTATACCATATTAGAATATCCTCCAGGATTTATGGAGCAAGAAAGGCCCCTTAGAAAGACAAAATGCTTCCTGTTAACCAAGGCCAAATTCATCTCATGGCCTCTTATTATTCATAGGAATCACAAGAACATTGACCTTGCAGAAGTATAATAACATTGACAGATTTTATATTTTCAAAATCCTGTTATAAAAATAAAGCTGTGCTAGGATTAAAACATGAATACATATAAAGATATTCGAATAATATGTACAAGCCAGGTGTGGTGGTGCACGCCTGTAATCCCAGCCCTCGGGAGACTGAGGCAGGAGGATCTCTGTGAGTTCAAGACCAACTTGGGCTATACAGTGAGTTCCAGGTCAGTCTCAAATACATAGTGAGAGCTTGTCTTAAAAAAGAAAAAAAAAAAATATATATATATATATGTACCAACCATATGGTAGGCACCATATAAGAATTGGCTCTGATTATTAGAATAAGATCAAAATTCTTTGACTTATAGAGTCCTACACATTTGGTTTTCATCTTCCAAACCATG